TAATAAATACAATATAAAAGCGCATCGCTACATTTAGAATGGAAGGATCTGGATTATGGCTCACTTGATTTTGCGGAAGGATACAGCATTTGACTTCGCGGGTTTTACAAGGCAGTGGCTCGGCTGCGGTACTGCAGTGCCGGAGACTTTTTGTCAAAGACGGTCATACTTAACACTCAAGGTAAGTGGCTCTGAATAAATGATCGATTTTAAACATAATAACGACAAAAATGTACAACATATGTGATGGTTTTGTGTTGTTACGTCCTGAGACGGATTTAGAAATGTTTTTATAAGTTATGTCCGAGAGAAAGTTAAGTGTAACGTTATGTCAAGTTCACTCGGCACGGAATATGTTAAATTGTAGAATATGTTCAAGTTTATCGACAAAAACGTATTATGTACAACATATTCGTACAACGTAAACATATATCAGTTGTTTTTGCGTAGATATTTATAAGCGTAAGTTACATTTAAAACCGTAAAACGTTAAGCCTATGTCCGAGGGGAAGGCCGCCATTAACGTAACGTTACGTTTAACTAAGGGAACGTGGTATCTCGTTTAATTCATAAAACATGTAAAATGTACTACTATAATGTGTAATAGCTTTAATTTCGGGATGTTTTATGATATTTTTTTTGTGTGTTTCCGTAACGTGAAGAGTTGATATGAAGAGAACGCGGTCTTTCTCTCATCATTAGAGGCCAATGTTACGTTAGGCCTACTTTTATGGATGCAAGTTACTGAAATCTATGAAACGTGTAATGTTAAACACATTAATACACTATTTTAGGGTAACTTAAGCGTGATGAATTAGGTTAAGATTGTGAACTTTTGCAATTGTCCCGTTGAGAGACCGACATAAACCTGAATATCTAACGGTCCAGCTACGATAAAATGGCGCTCATTTTGAAACAGCGTTTTGACCTCGTGAGGACGGCATTTCATAAGGCCGTTATCAGTGGGTGTCTCGATAAGCTTTCTAGGTCGTGAATTAGCTGATACTATTATTTTGTGTACTCAGATTCGTGCACTGGTAAGTGATTTATATTAGTGATCACTTAATCTTGGATTACAGTTCTTAAATTTTTTTAAACGCTTTGTATTGTATAGCCAAAGTATATTTAAATTATAAATTGTACATTTAGCTGTTGAAAATTAAGTTCAAGTAGTTTTGATGAACAGTTGGTTTTATTATGTCTTATAACAATTATCTTTCCCCCTCCCATTTATTCATCCATCTTATGTGGTTCAAACCAGAGAGGCGATGATGTGGAGAGGCAGACCAGAGGGATGCAAATTGATGCTGGAGGCCTGGATTCAGTGGTGGATGTCGCTGTAGTGGTGGAGGAAGAAGTTATACTAAATGTTTCAGATGTACCAACTGCCTTTGGAGTGCTTTTCGGACTGCTTTACACTCTATTGATTAACCCAAACAGTGGAAGTACCTTTTTGAAGCAGTGCAAAAGGTATTTCTGGGTCTCGACAGTGAGAAGTGTTCTGCTCAAATTCAGTCACTGAGAACCAAACTGTTGCAGGTGTAAAAAAAAAAAAGATGATCTTGTTTAGAGGTCAGAGGTGGTGGAGGGATGACATCAAAACCCAAAAGACTAATTCTCCACTGGTTCCCTCAAAATATTCCTATGCTTTTTTTATGAATAATAATAGGCTTTTTCAATTTGTTAGTGAAATAAGGTTTGTGGTAAACAAGTTGATGATACTTAGATATTTTATTCTACAATGATAAAAACGTATCTGTGTGTAGTTTACATTGTAGAAAAGAAAATCCATTTTATTGTCAAATTGTGTTTACCACAGAGCTTATTTCACCAATAAACGAGGAACCAGTGTCGAATTAGACTTTCTGGTTTTGACATCATCCCTGCACCACTTTGAATGTTATGATGCCAAATATTCAGTTGTTGTTTTTTAATACTTTTTATACTTATGAAATATCTCGGACACCATTTTGTTACCAGTTGTTGTTGTTGTTGGTGTTGTATTCTTTTTAGTGGTCAAATCACTTAATCACGATTAATCCCATCTAACATGAAAGTTTGTATATCATATGTGTGTACATATACACACACTATATTGCCAAAAGTTTTGGGACGTCTGCCTTTACAAGCACATGAACTTTAATGACCCCATTATTAATCCATAGGGTTTAATATGGAGTTGGCCCACCCTTTGCTACTATAACAGCTTCAACTCTTCTGGGAAGGCTTTCCACAAGGTGTAGGAGTGTGTTTATGGGAATTTTGGCCATTCTTTTAGAAGCGCATTTGTGAGGTCAGGCACTGATGTTGGACCTGGATAACAGTTTCTAATTCATCCCAAAGGTGTGCTATCAGGTTGAGCTCAGGACTCTGTGCAGGCCAGTCAAGTTCCTCCACACCAAACTCTTCATCCATGCCTTTATGGTCCTGCTTTGTGCACTGGAGCACAGTCATGTTGGAACAGGAAGGGGCCATCCCCAAACTGTTAAGTGTGAAGTTTGGTGGAGGGGGGATTATGGTGTGGGGTTGTTTTTCAGGGGTTGGGCTCACCCCCTTAAGTTCCAGTGAAAGGAACTCTTAAAGCCTCAGCATACCAAGACATTTTGGACAATTTCATGCTCCCAACTTTGTGGTAACAGTTTGGGGATGGCCCCTTCCTGTTCCAACATGACTGTGCACAAAGCAGGACCATAAAGGCATGGATGAAGAGTTTGGTGTGGAGGAACTTGACTGGCCTGCACAGAGTCCTGACCTTAACCCGATAGAACACCTTTGGGATGAATTAGAGCAGAAACTGTTATCCAGGTCCAACATCAGTGCCTGACCTCACACATGCGCTTCTAAAAGAATGGCCAAAATTCCCACTCCTACACCTTGTGGAAAGCCTTCCCAGAAGAGTTGAAGCTGTTATAGTAGCAAAGGGTGGGCCAACTCCATATTAAACCCTATGGATTAATAATGGGATGTCTTTAAAGTTCATGTGCTTGTAAAGGCAGACGTCCTTACACCCACATGCGCACACATATAATATATATATATATAAATATATAATTATAAATATAATATATATACACATATAAACACAAACTTTTATGTTAAGATGTTATTAATCAACTTGACAGCACTAATTATTTTATGTATTTATTACTTGGAGAGTTTGTAGTTTTTACTACAATTCAAAATGTGCTTTATTGTTCTCAGTTTAGGGAAAGATTAGTAAATGTTTTTTAGTTCCATAAATGTTTGAAATGGAATTGGCAGTATTGAATTTAATGTTTGTCAACTGAGCACTTTAGCCTGTATGTTTAGTTTGTGCAGATTGTTGTGAAATAAAAGCTAATATCTCTTTTCATTTGTGTTTTTATGTGATTAATACACACCAGTAAATAATTTTGTTAACCTCAGTATAAAATTTAGTACAGCAATTTTTAGTTAAGCCCAAATAATAAATCCTGATTAAAACATTTTAGTTGAATGAACTATAAAACTAGTTGAGCAAACATACTTTTTTAAGTTGGAGTCAAGTTTGGACCAACTAAAACATTTTAGTTGAATGAACTAAAACTAGTTGAGCAAACATACTTTTTTAAGTTGGAGTCAAGTTTTGGCCAACTAAAAAATAATAATTGAAGCAACACTTTGAAGAGAGAAATTGAGTGAACGTAAAAATTCTGTGGAACTAGTTACTAAATAATAATTAGTTGAGACAACTTTAAATTTTTTACAGTGCTCAAATGCCACTTCTGATGCGATCGTAGAAGTGGATAAATACCTTACAGAGACCAAAGAGCTGAAGATCCACTTGAATACTGGAGAATGCAGAAACATGTCTACCCCCATCTATATACATTGGCATTACAGTTTCCTTGTACCCCGGCCTCCTCTGTATCATGTGAAAGAGTGTCCTCTAAGGCTGGGGAAGTACTGTCTAAGAGGAGCAATAGACTCAGCCCCAACACTGTGAAACAGCTTTTATTTCTTAATAAAAATGTTTAAAAACTTTATCACCTTTCTGTCATTCCTACAGGTAGCTACATAAGCATTTTGTTGTTTGTCAACTGCCAATAAAACATTAAAGAAGAAGATTATCTCTGAAGGAAAGGAAAATAAAAAATGCGGTCATCGCATCAAAACGATCTCTCCAATCATTAAGGAATGCTCTCTCCAATCAATATGAGGAATGGAATGACAAATTCAGATAGGCTTCTCAGAGGTTACTCAACATGTTTTATTATGACAGGTTTCAAAAATAATGAATGAAATAATAATAGAAATAATGTCTCTTCTGTATTAGAAAAATAAATATATAAATAATAAATAACTAAAAGAACTCACAAACTTACAAAAACAGAGTAACAAAATATATATTAGTTTTCTTCCTCTTTATCCTGTTTTTCTTCCTCATCCTCCTTGTTTGCCCATCTATATTTTGCTGTAGAGGTGATCTTTCCCAGCAGTTTTTTGAAAACCTGGACATTTTCATCACTTTATAAAAAACAGCAGGACAGCCAGGATAGGATGTGAAAACAGGACTTTTGGTCACCCTAGTAAACAAATGAGAGTTTAATCAAACACAGAAATATACAAAACTCGTGTTGGATCCTGTATCCATGATATTAAACCTTTATCTTGTGTTACCTGAATTGTTTAAACACAAGTATTATCCATAAATGAGAGACACGACGGTAAGAAAACTGTTTCTTCCTAATTTCCTTTGTGCGAACGAAGTTCAATCTTCCGTCACAACAAGTGTGTGTAACCATTATAGAAACAGAACAGAAAAAAAAAACAAAAAAGAAAAAAAAACATGGGGAATTATACTGAAATATCAGAATTGCCTCTCAAAGAAAGTTACAAAAATCATGGATTTTTCAGTTATTACCTGCTAAATCCACTCTAAGCAAACAATAATAATATACACATTATTCACGTATAAAATTGGCTCTTCATTCACATTTATCCTCCTTGAACTCATTCTAACAACTTAATATGTTTTATGTTTATTTCAGACCAGATGGAGGTGAAAGAGCAAAGACAAGAACTGAAGTGAAAGGTGATGATGCTGTAGTTTGTTTCAGCCTGTTGACACCAATACAATGAGCTTAATGTGCCAATTTACAGAAGATCTCAGACATCACCATAATGAATGAGCTGAGAACAGGGAACTTTTGGAGACAAAGAGGTTTTTCAGCTGCTCAGTTTAACATGATGGCCCTGTACTTTTTAAATGCAGATTGGATAAAAACACAGTGATCACAGTTCCCACCTGCAGTGAAGCCCCTCCCACAACAATTCACCAATAAATACTGGGAATATTCTCATCATCCTACAAGAGAAGGACAAACTCCAGGAGTAGCAGCTGAAATCTGTGTGACTGTTAAAGATGGAGTTTATTAAAGAGGAGATTGAAGACATGAGTGATCCAGAACCATCCAGAATAAAACATGAAGATACTGAGGAACAAACAGGTTGGTGTCCATTCTTGATTCTTCATTGTTGACACTAGATGTGAATTAATAAGCAGTATATGGATGATAAATGATAGAGAAATACATTAAAAATATCATAACCTTGTATATAGCAGTTGTCAAACATATTTTTCCTATATTAACAAGTGAGTGACAAAACAAAGAGTGAAAGATCTCTGTTGTTTTCTGCTATTAAATAAGGGTTCACTTGAACTGATTCTAACTGTATTTCTGTGTATTTTAGACCAGGTGAGAGTGAAAGAGCAAAGACAAGAACTGAATGAAGTGGAAAAGGAACATCGTAACTTTAAAACTCAAAGAACAAAAGCCAAAAAGCTGCACACCTGCACTCAGTGTGGAAAGAGTTTCACACAGAAAGAACACATTAACAGACACATGAGAATTCACACTGGAGAGAAACCGTATCCATGCACTCAGTGTGGAAAGAGTTTCACACAGAAAGGACACCTTAACAAACACATGAGAATTCACACTGGAGAGAAACCGTATACATGCACTCAGTGTGAGAAGAGGTTTTCTTGTTCATCAACTCTCAGTGTTCATCTGCTCCGTCACTCTGGAGAAAAACCATTCAAGTGTGATCAGTGTGGTAAAGATTTTAATTCATCATCAAGTCTAAAACAACACCTGAAAGTTCATTCAGATGAGAAGCCTTATGTGTGTTCTCTCTGTGGAAAGAGTTTTTCATGGCTATCCAGTTTTAAAAAACACCAGAAAACACATAATGAAGTGAGAGATTATATGTGCTTTGACTGTGGGAAGAGCTTTACTGCATCTAGTCAGCTGAAACAGCACCAAAAAATTCATTCTGGAGAAAAACCTTACAAGTGCTCATATTGTGACAAGAGTTTTGTTCAGTCTGGAAACCTGAAATCACACGAGCGAGTTCATACTGGAGAGAAGCCGTACGACTGCACTCAGTGTGGAAAGAGTTTCACACAAAAAGGAGACCTTAACACACACATGAGAATTCACACTGGAGAAAAACCATATACATGCACTCAGTGTGGAAAGAGTTTTTCTCATTCATCAAATCTCAGTGTTCATCTGCGCATTCACTCTGGAGAAAAGGCATTTAACTGATCAGTGTGGTAAAGGTTTTATTTCATCTTCACATCTAAAACAACACTTGAAAGTTCATTTAGATTTAGATGTCATTTAGTGTGTGTGTGAGATAGAGGGTTAAGCGAGACCATCTACGAGACACCCATATGGAAAAGGTTTGCTAAAAACACCTGTGATTCGTATATGTTCCAACAGAATATTGTAAGGGACATTTATGCTGCAAAATCCACATATAAAAATTACATAATATTAATGTTTTTTTAATCATATATGTCATATACTGTATGTCCTACATACAAAAGCCATATAGATCTTCATGGTGTAAAAACATAGGAAAATAATCCTAATTTAATATTCATATCCAGCATATATCTTAAAGTATTAGTTCACTTTCAAACTCACCCTGATGTCATCCAAGATATCCATGTCTCTCTTTCTTAAATTTTTTACAAACAGAATGGACTTCAATGGCAACCAACTATTCAAATGTTCAAAGAAGTTTCAAAAGTTTCAAATGTATATATATTTATTTTTTTAGAAAATGATTGTTTCGCTAGATAAGACCCTTATTTCTCGACTGGGATCGTGTCGAGACTTTGAAGCTTCATTGAGACGGACATTTGAAACTTCTTTGAACATTTGAATATTTGGTTACCATTGAAGTCCATTCTGTGTAGAAAAATCCTGGAATGTTTTCCTCAAAAACCTTAATTTATTTTCGACTGAATAAAGAAAGACACGGATATCTTTGATGACATCAGGGTGAGTAAATTATCAGAATTTTTGAAAGTGAACTAATCCTTTAAGAGGTATAAAACACAGTGCAGTTTACCAATCAGTGTAAGGCTGCACTTCACTCATGCTCTTGCTCTTATCTTGTCCTAAGTGGAGCCCTATGCCTATAGTCAATCATGGTCATATGCAATCAACATTAGATGAAACACAATATTTAAAACTACACACACAAGCACACATTTTAATTACAAAATTATTTATTGGAGTGTATTCTACAAGATACAGTTGAATATTTTACATAGGCCTATCAATAGTTTATCACAGTACTAAGTTTAGTATACTATTCTTAACCTATAAACATAAAACTTTCCTTAATGTCGAAGTGATTCTTATGCATATCACCACCAGAGTTCATGTCACATATACAAAAATATATTCCAGCCAATTTTCAATATTTTATTCACTGTTCTAGAAACATATTTGACTCAACTTTGTTGCACCCTCTGATTTAAATAACACTGTGATGAGTTACATCCGGGACATTTACTCGCTGAGCGCGACGAAACGAGCTGAGACTTTTTACACAGACGCCATTCTCTTTGATTTGCAATGCAAGGCATACGAGGAGGGAAAACGCATGGATTAAGTGTTTTATCCAACACATTCTCATCCAAAGGCGTCATCTAACTGACGCTTTTGACCATGCGTCTAAATCCGACGCACATGGCACCCTTTAGCGTCAGTTAGATGACGCTTCCGTTAAGGGTAGGTTTAGGTCTGGGGTAGGGTTAGGGTTAGACCACTAGGAGGTGTAGCAGACTTCAGATGGTCACTTCCCGGACATCGCGGACACACCACCACACAACGAATGGGATGATGAATGCAATGGAATTTATTCCCTTTAACAGAATAGTGAGGCAAAATTAGTTAACTGACATCAGGGGCCTACTCTCTCACTCCTCTGCTTCTCCGTTCGCATACACTATGCGTCTGCGCGCGAACGCTTAAAGGAGAAGCGATATCCTTCCCTTAACATCCAACATGTAAATGTCAATGATTAATTACCCCACATAACAGAATATCACACATGGAAAACAAAGTACTGTAAACTCGTAATCTGACTGTTACCACTATTACTGTGTGTATAGACTAATAAATCTTTTTCTACAACCAGTCTTATTGTATGAATGTACATCACAAGGCAAATGGTGTGAAAATAAACACACAACCATCACATTAAATCCACAGATTATATAACAAACAGTCACATTACTAAATCATAAATTGAAACAACATACCTTTAACAGAATAGGGAGGCAAAATTAGTTAACTGACATCAGGGGCCTACTCTCTCACTCCTGCATTAAGAGACACACGTGAAAATGAAGCGCCTACTTCGACACGGTTAAAAAAGCACTTTCAAAGAAAATAACCCAACCACATTGATACACTATATGAAGTAACCTCTTAACAAAGTTTTGACATCATTAATATAGTAATCAGGTTACAAAAAGACAAAAATTGCAAGACAAATGTGAGAGAGAAAATCTACCTCTGCTTCTCCGTTCGCATACACTATGCGTCTGCGCGCGAACGCTTAAAGGAGAAGCGATATAATTTCCTTCGGGTGTCTCACTAATTAAAGCCCCACATACAACAATTTGCCGGAACTCCCGATCGGAACTATTGAAAATAGTAAATTGAACACAAGTTTTGCTGAAGTTAACAGTTTAAACAACATTTCTCTTTGCACATAAAAAAATATATAAAATTAAACTCAAGTGTCTAAATCGACCGGCTACAGAGGCGCGTCTCATATTGACGCTTAAGGGGTACCATGTGCGTCGGCATGTTGACGCATGGTCAAAAGCGTCAGTTAGATGAGGCCTTGGGATGAGAACGGGCTGTTTTATCGCATTTATATATGCATTTTATGTAAGGGATAATCCACGGCTAGCCATGCATTAAAGGATTTTAATGCACGACGTAGAGGCGAAGCGGAGGGTGGTTGCCTCTAATGCATGGCTAGCCGTGGATTATCCCGCTTATACCTCGGTTATTTGCCAAGTTAAAAAGAAGTTAAAGTTGTAACTGATGTTTACAGCGTAATTTTTTAACAGACGTGTAAAAATGACGGTTATTTTCTTAAGTCATGGCTCTTTTTGTTCTAGCACTCCGTCCGTACCTGTGAGCGTCTCTTATTTAAAGTCTACAGTCCCCATGTTGCTTAAGCATATAGCTAACTTAATGATTCTTTAATGGATTTATTAAAAGTATTTATGAATGACAGGCAACACTGACAGTGACAAAGCAATCTTTATTTGAACTAATCATGTCATTTATTTAAATTAATTAGCTGTATATCAAACCAAAATTTTCTTACAAGTCTTGTGGGTGTGAAAGGGGAGAGTGCAGGTGCATTTCTAATTTTCAGTCAGACTCAGCAATACGCGGATGATGAACGCTGGTGTCTTTTCCATTTTTCCTGTAGCGCTTTAAAACTGATTTAACCCTCTGTGGACTAAGCCCTTTTTGGTCCGTTTTCTCTATTTTTACATTTGGGCTTATAAACCATACGTAATGGAGATGGAACACTATGTGTTTGGTATCTATGGATTCAGAAGACCCTACGCTAACATAATCATGCATGTAATGTGTTTATAAAGGAAATATGAGTGAAACATGTACAATAAACTAGAGAATTTCAAAAACGGAAATTAGATTTTTGTCATTTATTTCTGAAAATCACACATCACACAACAATAGTGAACAGTTTTTGAACAAAAAAATATATTTGTCAAAGCCTTTGCTTGACAGAAATGTGTAATTGTTAAATAAAATGTGTAAAGAACAATGAAAAATGTAACTTTATTCACAAATAGTCCTAGGCGTTTTTCTTAGGAATGCTTAGAATTTTCTAAGCAATGCTTTCTCCTCGTCACTCTCCAGTAATTGTTCCAGAGCTTGTTCCACCGTAAATCTTTACTGCTTGCCATCATAAAAGTGCTAAAACAATAAATAATGTTATAATTGTATGTATATAAATATATATATTATAATCTTTCTGTCTCTCTCTCATATTTCACTGATAATCCGCTCCGTAAGCCTCCGTTCGCTCTCTCTCCTTCTCTCCATTCAACGCTGTTTGCGTCATATCCCTAACTATATAGTACCACCCATTGCAAGGCTATAGAGTCCTCTGATTTGAGATACGTCATGGTAACCTTCCTCTGATTGGATAAGGCAATTTTTCCATTGGTTGTTGCTTGCGGAATCTGCCAAACAACATCGATTTCATTGGCCCTTTACATAGTGGTATTGCGCAACAAGGAAGTGTGTATATTTACAAGCTGGGTAAGTTATCACTGTTTTCAGCGGAATCTGAGGAAGACGGTAAAAAAGACTGCACCTCTCTATCATTAATAGTTTTTAAGATATTTACACATTTGTAAAAGTATGCCATTTTGGGCGGTACCGCCCAATCCGTCGCCAGAGGGTTAAAGACGGCATTGCTTAAAGCTGCAGTCCGGCGTTTTTCCTCTTTGTCGCCATCTCTGTTCGAAATCTGCAATTGCAGTCATTCGCGGAATTATCAACTTTACGAGAGTTGTACTTCGACACCCTCGACACAGCACAGCGCGGATGAACACAGTGTTTGAGGAGAGTGTGCGGCTGTCAGTCACCACGCCGATGTGGATACTGGCATTCAGAATCACAGATTATTCTTTTTGGAGTATGACCAACATACGAATTTTCACCGGAAAATGTAATCTGAACTAGTAAGAAACATCCACGTTTGTTCTGGTTCTGACATTGCAGTAAATCGCGCTGATTAAATCTAACAATTGCTTATAAGTTATCATATCACGCAAAACCGTGCAAATTATACTTTGTTCTCAAATTGTTAATGTTAACAACATCAGCATTGCGTGACTACATGTAATTTCCTTCCGATATTATCCTTGTTTTCGCATGGGTCCGGTTGCAGTCTCTTTTTTTCTGTAGCCACTCCGAAGTCCGAACGAAGTCTTTTGCATTTTACAGCGGGTGAATCTCTGGTTGTCACTGGTGATTGTCGTTTGAACCTTTCTGGATCCGCCATCAAATTGATGCTTAATTATCAAGTGCTGTGAGAAAAGGCTATAAATCTCCACCTCCAGCATCCTCACACGCAATATAGCCTACTAGCCGAGAAAGAATGAAATCGAGAGTATTATTGAGGAAAGGTTGAAGGTAAGGTGATAAAAACAATGGGATATGAAGAAGAAAGGTCGATGGTTTTACAAAATTCAAAGGAAAGTGGGAGAGATGAGAAGT